CAGTTAGTACAAACAAGGCATCACAACCACAATGCAGTCAGATTCCCTACACTGTGTATGTATCAAACTGGATATAAACATTGATGAACACAGCGCTAACATCTCTCTCCCTACATTACAAGCTCTATCACAACAGATGTACTAGCTCTGCAGCACTTGATCATCCTCTGAGATTTCATGCCTCTTGTCATAACCATCTGTCAGAAACTACATCCAGTTAACGTTCAGTTTCAACATCACTCCCACATGAAACTGAGCCGGCTGTTGTACATTTACATCAAGTCAGGAGATCGGCTAGGCCATGCAAGCATGTGAGATAGATTGAATTTATAGAGACATCTTATTAGCATGACATTAAAGGTGTGAGTAAGTGGCCTAATTTGATGCAGTTCATTGTTTATTGTTCTCTTTTTTAGTGACTGCTGGCGTCTCTCTTATGTTTACTATCGTTTGTCTGAGTACATGTTGTGAAATCTTGCATGGCGCACCAGGGATGAGTAGATGTGTGTGTGTGTGTGTGTGTGTGTGTGTGTGTGTATACGTGTGTGTGTGTGGGTGGACAACATGGACAGGCTGCTGACTGGCTGCAGCTGCTAAAGGAGAACCCTATGCTGTGATATTTTAAACATCTGGTATTTTTACATAAATTGTTATGGCTGTATTGATTTAAAAAACCAATAACGCAGTGGGACCACCAGACCACTGAGTAACAAACACATCAACACCACACAAGGGTTAAGGTCTTTGCTATGGCTCTGTGGCTTTTTCTATTCTTGTGTTTTTAAGAATGTTATCTGTGAGAACTTAGGAAGCTCCTTCACCATGATTGCTACTCATTGTGTGAAGTCTATATTGTGGTCAGTGAAAACCCCCTGCTAGCTGTGGGAACCGTAGAGTGGTGTGTGTGCATGTGCGTGCGTGTGTGTGTGTGTGTGTGTGTGTGTGTGTGTGTGTGTGTGGGTGTGTTCTTTGTTATGTATTGTTGATTATGTATTTTGTTGCTTTCTGAATGTACAGCGTTCTTGAGTATGGGGAAGGCACTATATAAATAAAAGTGATGATGATGATGATGATGATGATGAAGTCTTCCCAATCAAAAAAGTGCAAAAAAGTGTCTGAATACTTGGGTCCCATCACTATATGTATCCCCTTACTGTAAGCAATCTGATAAAAGCATCAGACTTGTTGTAGAACAGAAATGTTTACAAGTTGCTTCATGTGAGTCAGAGTCGAGTCTTGAGTCTTAAGTAGGGAGTTTTAGTCTTAATGTTAGCTGCAGCTGCATTGTAAACCCCTGCTAACAACTTATCAGGTTCATAACAACCTAACACACATTTTGTTGTAGAGAAAGCTTCAGTCTGAAGAACTGCTACAGGCAATAACTGCAGTGTTCAAAGAAGAGAATCGAAACAACTTGAAATGGTTGTTTAGTCTGTAGTTTGCAAAAAAGTATAGCTACTTAGCACAATAGTTAGTGTTATAGTCAAGAGCACAAGAGCCGAGTCGGACTCAAGATCAAGACTTTTAGCAGTCGAGTCCAAGTGAAGACCGAGATCAGGAGTGGAGGAGACCTAGACAATACACACACACACACACACACACACACACACACACACATACATATATATATATATATACACACACACTAGTCTTAGTCAACTGGTAAGGTAATCAATGGTAAAGTAATTCTCTGTTCTATTCTTATCAAAATCTTATTAAAAATCTCCACCAAAAGTCAAATGAAAATAAATTAAACTACATCAATTTTTATTATTAAATATAGTAACAATACCATTCAAATCTGCTTTCAGACAATGTTTCACTTTTTGGAACTAATGAACATCAGCGAACAAAGCCAACATTTTATTTAAATATAAACAAACAGTGGTTTTCAACATGTGGGCTGCGGAAAAAAGGAAAAAAGGTCTAGTATGAAAATGCCCTGAGGGGCGAGTCCAACGTTGGTAACATTCATTCATTATGTGGCACTCCAATATTATACTCTGCTGAAAAAGCACCATCAGAAACCATTAGTATTAAAACCTTATGGTTTTGCTTTCTAATAGGAATTGGCTTAATGGTTTCCAATGAAGACCACTAGTTTCCTGTAGAACACCTTTAGATCCCATTTGGAAACCATCAAATGCATTTAGAATCAGCCACTGGTCAACTGTTTAAACATTAGGTTCCTTTACATTGTGATATCATCCCATTAGAAAAGCCAAAAACACATCACAAAACCATCAGTGGTTTCTATGGAACTTTCTCAGCAGGATATAAATAACATTTCACAAGAAATGCCATCTACAGCTCATTCAGCTCAGATCTCTTGAATGGATTCCAATTGCTAAACTTTGCACTTTGTTAGTCAGAAGGGTTCTCAAGATAAATATTTGTTTCTGAAGAAGCCGTCTCTGCTTGTGTCGCATCTCTGTTGTGAATCATGGATGGAGGTGAGGTTTCTTAGTGATGATCTGCAGGAGACGGAAACTTTTTCCTTCAGTTTTCCAGATGCGTCCTGTACATTCCACTGTTAAAAGGGATTCTCCATTATGAAACCCTTTTTAGTCTTGGACGCTGAAACATTCAGTCAGCTAATGCAGCTTTAATGTCAGGTATCCAAGCGGTCCTGTTACTTTGCACAGTGAAGGTCGTGAACTCCTTCCATGATGATCTAACCCTGCAGTGGAGATGTAACAAATGGCACGTCAAATGAGGTCATGTCAGAAAAAATATTCCCTGATGAGTCACGAGATGAAGTTCCCAGACAGAAATGCTACATGAGCTACATTCACTCAGGACTGTTTGCCACAGAGTGTCTGACGACTGACTGTTATTATTCTATGAAAAGATGATCCTTCAAATTTTCACAGAAACAGGACGTTTTCAGAACACAACCCTCTCTGGTCACTTCATTAGAAGGCCCTCCTTAGACTGCAGTCCATTTGTTGACCTCTGACCCTTCATCAATGGTCAGTTTCTGACCATAAAAACATTCTCGGCTGGACATGTTTGGGTGATCTTAGCAGTGACACTGACATGTGTAAAAACCCCAGCATTTTTTAATAGCAATATTGTGTTGGTGGTTATAAGTTTTGGGGATTTCCATCTTTGGAAAAACGTCCCCAACATTTTTTGTATGACATCACAGCAATAATTATTTCTTTATGAAATACTGTTTTTGAAAGCGCTAATAGGCATTGATGTCTTTGAATTTCCCTAGATTTTATTTTTAATTAAAAGCACCATCAGAAACCATTAGGATTAAAACCTTATTTTGTTTGGTTTTGCTTTCTAATGGGAATTGGCTTAATTGTTTCCAATAGAGACCACTAGTTTCCTGTAGAACACATTAAGATTCCATTCCGAAACCATCAAATACATTTAGAATCAGCTGCTGGTCTCCTGTTAAACCATTAGGATCTTTTACCTTGTAATATAGTTTCATTAAAAAAGCCAAAACACATCACAAAACCATCAATGGTTTCTATGGGACTTTTTCAGCAGGATATGAAAAAACGTTTTCTCAAGAACTGCCATCTCCAGCTTATTCAGCTGTGAAATATGACTCAGATCTCTTGAATGGAATCCGATTGCTAAACTTTGCACTTTGTTAGTCAGAAGGCTTCTGTTAGTCTGAAGGGTTCTGTTAGTCTGAAGGGTTCTGTTAGTTATGAGATAGATTTTATTTTTAATTTTTATTTAGTTTATTATTATTCAATTTTTTCACTACCAAAACAATCAGAACATTACTAAATCAGTACAAAATGTTTCAGTAGTGACTGTTTTGGTAATTTTAGCTCATTTTAAACAGGACTCAAAAACACCAGCCAGTTCCTGAATAGCAAACACAACCTTTTTATAGTTGTACACGGACAAATTCATAACATTTTTAATGAAAATACCAAAAAGTTTAGTTCATTGCAGAAAAGATGTGTTTCAATAATGATGATTCCTAATGTTCAGACTTTGGGACACATTAACTTCAAAACACTGAGATCTAGCAGCTCACCATGTGGCCATGATGGACAGGGATGCAGTCTCACTTCCTGCTCTAAAATGCAGGGGCGTGGCTAAAATAAGGCTCCACGTTTCTCATACTAAATCTCATTTGCTGCGTCCAAAACCACACTGTACTAAGCAGTACTTGTACATCAAGACTGGTTAGAAGTTCATTCATTAATTAAGTCTGTGTAATAGCACACAGTTTTTGTGTGTCAGTAGTGACATGAAAATCTGTTACTGCACCTTTTTAAAAAGGTTTTTTATTTAAAAAATTTAACTAATAAAAAAATACAATTAAACCCAAACTTCACTTTAAAAGAAATGGAAAAAGATAAACATACAAATGTATTATTATTATTATTATTATTATTATTATTATTATTATTATTTATTTATTTATTTATTTATTTATTTATTTGCACAAATGTAAATGTAGGGGTTAGGGTTTGGGACAAACACCGTCCAATAAAAAGTACCCTAATGATGATTTTGTATGTACTTGTATGTGTATATATATATATATATATATATATATATATATATATATATATATATATATATATATATATATAGTATGCATCTCTGTTTTTGCCTTGGGTTTAAATAGATCATAACATAATCCTTGTAAATATGTAAGATCTGAATATTCATTCATTCATTCATTCATTCTGTGAAACCGCAGTTCAAATGGTCAGCATTTAGTGGATCTATAAGGAAGGCAGAGCTCATAAAGTAGTCAGACGTACAAAAGAGATGAGTGGAGATACAAAACAGGAGTTTGAACACAATAAGTACTTTTAAATATGACAAATAAAAACTTCATATAAAAGCAGAACAGTACAAGTAAAAGTACGATGACGGTATGACAATGGAAAGGTAAAATAAACGATTAAATACAGTTAAATATGAAAAATACAAAGAAGGGGAAAAAATTATGTGAAAAAATGCGAAACAACTTCCTCGAGTTCGGTTCTACGTCACCACTCGACCGGATGTTGACAGCGCTGCTGAGAGCCAGCTGTAGCAGAAAAACAAAAACAACAGCGAGCAGTGAGGGAATGTGGCGCTCTTAACAGGACAAAAACGGTCAGAAAACCACTCAGCACTGACCACAAAGACTACAGATACAGACACACAACGCGTGTTATTAGGACGAGACCGAAGGCGGGTAAGACTTGGCTGTTTTTTGCCTGTTTAGCTGGTATAATCGAGTGTAAACGAGTGAGAAAATGTTCCGTCTGCCTCAACAACAAAGTAGTGAAAACCTGTCAGTTTACAGACAATTTCAGCTGCTTTGCTCATGAGAGTTGGGGGTTAAGTGGGTTATGCTTTTATTCAGTCGTTTTTAAACGTGTTACGCTGCAGAAATCAACCCTGAGCTAACTTACGTCCTTAATACTAACTACGAAGCTGAAGTCAGCTTCTTGTTCGCCAGCTTCTTGTTGGAATTCACCCGTTCCACCTTAAATGGTCCTGCAGAAGCCTTCTGGTGCCTCAGGCGTCTCGGGCGTTGTTATAATAACTGCTGCACCATTTAAGGTGGAACGGGAAAATTCGAACAACAAGCTGGTGAATAGGAAGCCAACTTCAGTGTTGTCTTAATGGTTTGGTCAAAACTGCTAAAGTCGATGCTAACGAGCTCTCAGATGACGCTTTGTGAAGTGAAGAAACACTGAGAGACATTTTATATGAAGAGGCTGCTGACGACAACTAAGTCTTTTAAGGATGAAGGTCTTCAAAAGATAAAAGCTACTACCAGGACGTCTGTCTAAAGAAATCTAAAGAGCTGACCATAGTAACTAAATCTAATGTATCTTGTCTGTTCTGTGGTGTGCAGGACAACAGCCTCACTGTGAAAGGGGAATGCCTCAGATTTCTCAAGATTTCAGAATAAGTCAATCATTGAGATGCCAGCGAAGTCATTCAGAATGGTTTGGTTCTGAGAAACTTAGTGACTCAAAATGTCTTTTCTGTGGTGGTGATAGGAACCAGGGGTCACCATGTTTACAACACAAATACAGCCTTTTTATTTACTATCCGAAAAGACCGGTGAACCTACACGTGTCTTCTGAGTTTATTTTTGTAATATTAATGATGGTAAAGTAGTAGTAAATCTGAAAAAAGCTTTTTTTTTTTAGGTACTGTTTCACCGCACAATGCCCTGCATGTACCTCTCTGCTGTGAATATGAATTAAAATATAGTGTCTCAGGCATCAGACAATATATTCATAACAATTTAATGTAATAACATTATGTCAAATACCTTCTACAGGCATTAAACGCTTTAAACGCCTGGTTTCTATCACCACCACTGTGGATAATTCTGACTGAGTTTAGAGCCTTTAAACAGAGAAGCCATTCTGACTGACTCTGTTTACATCGTAATCCTTTAATTATGTAGAGATTTTGAAAAATCAGTGTAGTTCCCCTTTAATGATATGTGTAGGATCTGCCTGTTGAAATGTATTACAGTGTATTGAGTCAGTCATTCAGTGCATGGCTGAGGAGACAAGTGTACATCAGAACGTGTAATGTCATGTGTGCAGGACTGTGTGGACTGCGGAGTGCGCCATGGGCCGAATCTTTCTGGACCACATCGGGGGCACGCGGCTTTTCTCCTGTGCCAACTGCGACACCATCCTGACCAACCGCTCCGAGCTGATCTCCACTCGTTTCACTGGAGCCACAGGCAGAGCCTTCCTGTTCAACAAGGCACGTATCTGCACGAGTCTGCAGCCGTACACAAACACAGCTCCAGTGAATGAGTCACTTATGCACATGCACCTGTTACCAGAACCTGTATACAAACATTGACCCCAGACCAAACCATGAATGTCCTCGTTTGTGTTTGTTGTCCCTTTGTTTACTGCTTGGAAGAAACTCTGCTGCTGAAGGACAAACTGTATTTATCAGCTTACGTCTGGTACTGTTGTAGTGTTTACTGTAAGGATAGACTATATGCCAAAAATATAACCACACAATACATCACCGTATGCATTATGCATCATAATATTTAGTTTTTCAGAGGTTTGGAATGGACTTCACAGTTTAAAATATTGTAGGCTATGATAAACTGGGAGCACAGTTCCCTCACCATTTGCAAATAAACTATTCAAGAGAGTTCAAGAGGAAAAATCAAACAACTGTGAAAATGAAGTACAACAAAAACAGTACATCCAACAAATACATGGCACAGTGGGAAATGATGCTTAGTTGTGACCAGATTTTTTTCTATTTAGAGAGAACTCCTACTCAGTAATACCTTCAGAGTTGATCTGAGTAGAGGGCGCTGTTGAGAGGGTTTACAATGAATGTTTTTCTTCAGTACAGAATAGCATTACGTCTTTCAACACATCTGTCATATTTCTCTTAAAGCTTTTCAGCTCTAGTTATAAAACTTTGCAACAGCGGTTTTTATTATATTGATGATGGTTTTGAGTGCAAAATGCTTTAGAGGGAGATCCTTTTCCAAATTCTCTTAAGTGCTTCTCTGTTCATTGTCTATGAAGCAAAATCTTTGTTTAGTGATGTGTTTTAGTCTTAGTTTAGCTGTTTCATTGAATTGATAGCCAAGTTTATACTCCACTGCTAGATAGAGGTCCAAGTTGAGTGAAATTCACTATATGGCCAAAAGTATGTGGACTCCTAATTATTGAGTTCAGATGTTTCAGCCAAACATTGCTAACAGGCGTAAAATCAATCATATCTTAGGAGCAGACTGGGTTGTACTGAAGAGCTCAGTGATTTTAAGCATAGTGCTCTTATAGGATGCCACCATTGCATAGGTCAGTTCATGAAATGTCAGCCCTGCTAGATCTGCCCTGGTCAACTGTAAGTGGTATTATTGTGAAAATGCAAGCATCTAAAAGCAACAACATACTCTCAAATTGCAGTTTCCTGTACAAACCTATTTGTTAAGCTCTTTTAATGAGCTGTTTCATGTTGTCACTGAATATTTTATGTTAAATATTCTTCTGCTTGGTTAAAAATAAAGAGGATATCTGTATGAATACAAAAACATGTTTAATTTTTTTTAGCTAAGTTTTTAGCTGAGGGCTGTCTCACGGTCTAGTGTTTTTGATGTAAATGGATGGAATAAATAACAGCCTCCGCCTATCAGATGGTCTGCAGATCTCACCAGCTTATCTTTCACGCACTGCTACACTAAAGACTGTTTTTATGTCTTAAGGTGGTGAACCTGCAGTACAGCGAGGTGCAGGATCGCGTGATGTTGACGGGCAGGCACATGGTGCGTGACGTCAGCTGTAAGAACTGCAACAGTAAGTTGGGCTGGATCTATGAGTTCGCCACGGAGGACAGCCAGCGCTACAAAGAGGGCCGCGTCATCCTGGAGAGGGCGCTGGTGAGAGAGAGCGAGGGTTTTGAGGAGCACATCCCCTCGGACGCGTCTTGAAAGCAGGCTTTCGCGCTCCTCTTGGTGAACCTTCCTCACAACCTGCTCTTTGCTATGGTGTACCAAGGCTTTGTGGTGATGTTTCATATCTACTCCAAGGTAACCTTCAGTATATGTGTGCTGGCATCTTTGCCCATTGGTACCTTTTACTCCTGCAACATCAGAGCTATGAGTATGAGATATGCGCACACGCATGGAACAAATCTAGCACCCAAAATCTGCCCTGGCTGCTGTACCATCAAGGCTTTGTAATATTGTAGTGGTCCAATGCTGTACTGCACCTGTTCCGCGGCTTCAGTGCACACGTACAGCACCTTTCAGATCCTCATTTTTTCAGTAGAGTTTACATTGTTTGTTACATCACTGGGCTGATTGTTCTGCAGTGGGACTCATTTAATTGTGATCAGGCAGCTCATAGTTGTACTGGGAATGTTCACGAATGTTCTCTTGATTGCCCCATTGTGCCCAAAAGTGAATGTAATCTCATTGGTCAATCACAGTAAGTACTCCACACCTGCAGTAAAATGCAATATCTAGGGTTGGTCACCTGGACAGGGATTAAGCCTAGTCCTGTACTGTTTTTTTCTTTAAATGGAGAACCTCCATTCAGAATGCTGTGAATATTGGCTTAATCCCTGCCCAGGTAACCAACACTAGAATCATAAAGGAGGGGTGATTTAGCCTTCAGACTCTGTGCTGTGTCCCAGCTGTACACTAAACACTAATTCTATTTTCACTGTATATAAGGTGTAGGATAGGGATGCCCCAGTTGTGAATTTTAATGCCAGACTCTCTCTACAACCAAAACTGGCCCGAACTCACACTGTTTGAGCTAAGTGAACACACATTAGTGCATTTCCGGCATGTTCTTTCAGCCAAAGTACCAGTATAGGTAACAGTATTTGCTCTGTAAATGGCAGAATCAGCATTACAAATCTGTAAATGATAAATTAGTTGCCTGTTTAAGTAACATGAATCAAATAATGCGCTATGTCAAAAGGACATTTAGCACATAAGTCATGTATAATTATGCTACAGCAGATTTGACACAAGAGTAGCCGTAGCATTCATATACAGGGCGAGAGCTCTTACCTGCTTTATTCATGTCATACAATTGCAAAAATTAAAAAAAAATAAATAAATTAGCTCATAGAAACGGTACAAAGTTATTTGGAATAAAATCTGATTACATTAATGTTACAGTTAAGTCAATATTTCAGCCATGTGAGGATTTGTTACTACAGCAGTGATGTATTGTAGGTGGCAGCTATTGTTCCACAATTCAGGGTGAAGCAGAAACATGCAAGGTTAGCAAATAAGGCAAAATCTCTTACAATTAACAATTTACAGTAAATGTTACACACTGTAAAAAATGCTATATCATCTTAAGCCTTATCAATAGCTCTTATTACTTCTCATTTTGAGATTGATGTAAGAATATTATAGGCTTATTTCACTTATTTCTGGATGTATTTTTACTCGGTTTAAGTCATTTTATATAGAGAAATTGTGTTCAATCGTCAGATGATCCAAGCATTACTTCTTGAAACAAGCAAATTATTTGCCAGTAGAATAATTTCTGTAGATCAAATGACAAAGTGAAAAAATGTCTAAAAGTAAGTTAAATAATCTTAGAAATTTCTTACAACAGTCCAAAAATGAGAAGTGTTAGACATCCTGATGAGATTTAAGATGTTTTCTCTTGCCCAGGTATCATTTTATGTGATGTATATCTTACAGTAGTAGTGTTTAGTATGTAGTTGGGACATTTCAAATACAGTGGCTGACTCAGTATTCAACTCCGCTGTATTCCATTCTATTCTAATCACCACATTTTAACTGAAGCCCAGATAAGAGTCCGCTCTTATTGCGCTGATCGCAGCTACTATGTGCAAAACAGGATCAGCTCTTGAGGTCTAAGAGGCTTTAAGATTTTATGATTTAGACACCTCTGTGCCCAGGCTGGATCAAATTTCAGTTGTGCTTAAGAATGTTTTCGTGGTTCAGCATCTGTGTTCAGTGTTTTCACCCAAATCTCTATCTGCATTGTACTGTATTCGTATTGTACAGTCAACTACAGTCATAAGAACAGCTTTGGTAAGACCTTATTGGAGCAAAATGGTTGTGGTTTTACATTATATAGTCAGTTAACTTTACATTTTTCTTTATGGAATTCAGCAACTGCCCATTTACCTCTACTCTAAATCTCTAGTCAGTTGGTAGGGCTGTACGATATGAACAGAAAATGCTGTTGGATGTCACAATGAGGATATCAGAACGATAAATTATTATTAAAACTGTGCCTCTGACTGGATACGATGCAAGTACAGACTTATTTTGGATGTGTAAACAGAGATCTAACCATCTTCTCCTTTAAACAAGTAGCAAAATGCAAAATTACAAAAGCGTCATTTACAACTGTGCATAATAAAAAGAAGGAATTAATTTTTTTTTTTTTATTTATTTGCCTTTAGTTATTAAAGATGTTTGTTGTGACAGTAACCATCACTGCCTCGCACTCTTAAAACAATACTGGGTGTGAGAACAATCCTAATGTTTCACATGTTTTTACAGGCTTATAGTTGAGGATGGAGTAGTTTCAGTGCTGTGCACAGGGAAGCACTTAGGCTTCTAACAGTTCGTAATGACGTCTCTCTGGTGCTGCGTGTATGAGGTAAATCGATCTGCTCTGTCATCTCAGCTCTTAATGATGTGTTTATCACGGAAACCCACATCACAATAACAATAAAAATATGATCGTTCAGCCCTTTCAGTTGGCTTTCTGTTCCTTATAAGCACGAGGAGGTGCATCTGTGGTAACAGTACAAATGCAGCAGGTAGAGATTGGCTTGAAAACGCTGGCGTATTCCTTTAAGTGAATTGCTTTGAAGATCACAGTCCACCCTTAGTCCTTACGTCTGCATTGTCGAGCATTACGTCGTTATATAATTCTTTTTATTATGGTTGTTATAAACATTACTGATAGACCAATATATCATCTTAGTTTCATAAGGCATGGTCATTATGATTTGGTCAAAGTGCTCATTAGTATGGTTATTGGGTTTAATGATGTTGTTAGAATTATTTATGCTCATTTGTTGCATATAATGGAAAATTTCCATCTGAAAGACAATTGTGTGTTTTCTCCTTTAGCTTTGTTCCTTGATGTTTTGTGGTTCATTTCAAATAAACGATGATGTCTTTCAAAATCACACACTGGTTTTTTATTTTGCAGTGTTTTGGGTACTATACAGAATTTGTGACTTTTTTTGTTAATTTATTTATTTTACCTGAGGCTCATGCTGTGTCGGCTAAAAGAACACAAACTAGAACATTTCCAGTACTTTCTATTAGCCAAAGATTTAATATAAATAACACTAGTTGCTCTATAATATGCACACAAGCATTCAAATACAGCAAGTGGACTTGACTCAAGTTATTTACATTATAAAACTGCTGCACTCAGCCAATACATACATACATACATCATCTTAACCGCTTATCCTTCTGGGTCGCGGTGGGGTGCTGGAGCCTATCCCAGCTGTCATTGGGCGGAAGGCAGGATACACCCTGGACAGGTACTCAGCCAATATAAAATATTAAATTAGCCAAATGTGAGTTTGGAGTAAAAATTTGGATTCTGATCATACACACCTACCAATGTTGTTAATAATAATTAATAATAATTATTATTATTTTTCTTTAGCAACAGTTCTTTATCATAGATACCACATGTTCGTGTTGATAGAATCAGAATTGGTTTTATTGCCAAATTAAAAGAAAAGGCATAGCAACCTGTAAATAAATAGAGCAGGAGAAAAAAAATTATAGTGATAAAAATAAAATAGTGCAAGCAGTGAACATTTATTTATATATATATATGTATGTGTGTATATATATGTGTGTATATATATATATATATATATATATATATATATATATATATATATATATATATATATACTGTAAAATGAACAGTTGAACTGTAAGTACAGATCAATATTGAAAATATAGAGTATAGCATTAGTTCACACAGGCCATGAAGTCAAGCTCAGGCCCCAATCAAATCACCAGCCAGTATCAGCTGACGGCTCAGCTGATCGCCTGCTATGCATACAATTGGCTAAATTTGTCAGGGCATTTATTTAAACTACTTTAGCCGGCCCATTCTTGCCACTTCCTCTGCAAGCCACTTTGCAACCTGCATCCTCCTTCAAGCTGTGTCTGTTAGACTTTCCGTGTAGGCACATGGAAGGGCAGGGTGGTCCCAGACCACAGCTATACCGCCAAATATAACTTACTGCAAACGTAAACAAAATATTTTCTTTGACGATGAAATACACTATGGGGCAAAAGTCTTTGGCCGTCACAATTAAATGTTTAAAACTATATCTCACACAATTAAACAAAAAATTAGAATATCATAGAATAGAATTAAATTTAGAATTATAAAGGGTTAGAATATCATTTTCATGGATGCTTTTAGCACATTATTATATATAGAGTACAGGAATTTTGTGGTCAGATTTAAAGGGAAATTCCACCTGCTTTTTTCAAAATACAGTGGTTTATATGTAATCAGAGTCATTCAGAGTGGTTTGATGTGAAATTGTCCTTTGTAGATGGTTCATTCCTTACAGTGGTGGTGATAGGGACCAGAAGTCTTGATGTCTACAACACAAATATAGCCATTTTATGAACTACTACTATGCGTCATCTTTTTAATACATTTAGTTTATTTGATAATGATAAAATAGTGAGACATCTGAAAAAGTACGTTTTAGCAGGGGGCTGTTTTGCCAAATAAGACCCTGCATGTACCTCTCAACCATCAGTAAAGATATCAAATATGATGTTTTGGGCAAAAACCATTTTATGTAACAACTTTCTGTGAGGAAACTTTTAGAGACATTAAACTCTTCAGACGCCTTTTTCCTGTCAACACCACTGTGGAAAAATCTGACTCAGAATTCCCTTTAAACCCCTTTAAACTGCTAAACTCAACTTACCTACAAACCACAACCTACATTGTAAGTAAACTGGCGTATGAACCCCACCACAGTGAAACAACCTGAAAATGACACTTGCTTTGTCCACTAGATGGCGACATAACCACATCTGTTCAGCAGCTCTCATTTCAGTAAAGCTTCAATCTCATGACTGAGGCTTTGTGGGCTCTGCTGCGGGAGACAGTTCAAGCCTTGTCTTGGACTCAAAAGGGATTTTCCACCAAAATCAGTTTGTAGGACCAGGCTTAATGTGGAAACCTGCAATCTATGTGTGTATAAAGCAAAAACATATTTAAAGGAGTATTTTGACCACAAATCGGATTTACACACTTTTACCCCTTATGTAAGATGAAGTCAATCAGCCAAGACATGTTCACTTCTTTGGTTTTACACTGGAGCTGTGAAGCTAATGTAGCTAACGGGTAATAGAAGCATACAACTATGAAACTGTCGTTACCTGAAACGGTTGAGTTGTTCTCAAATAATAAATTATTTGGGAAATATCCGATCACCCCATTCAATGTTGTTAATAATAGCTGATGATAGTAAAGATTATAATTCCTAATCATAGCAGCAACATGTTCTGATTGATTAAATCAGAATCAGAATTGGTTTTACTGCCAAATTCAAAGATAAAGGCATAGCAACCAGTAAACAAACAGAGGAGGAGAAAAAACAGACCTGCTTATGAGGGTTTTGACATTATGATAGACTGTTACTGATACAATGATCCCGACTACAAAGGATAAATTGTGTAAATTAGATGTTTTGCTACTCCTTTAAAGGGACGTTCTACTTAATTTTGCATGCTTCCACATTTTTGCCTAATTTACTGGTTAAGGGCCGCAGTTTAGCTTAAGCTAGATGCCCTATATACATTGTTTATCTGTACTGTCCCTGTCAAATAAACAAAATAAATAGATGTAAAGTCGTTCAGAGTGGTGTGATGTGAAATGTTCCATTCTGGAGAAATAAGTCGAAATATTTCTATGGTGGTGATGGGAACCAGACGTCTGAATCAGAATCAGAGTTTAATGCCTCTGAAAGCTACCACACAGAAATGATTTATGACTGTTTTGAAAACGTTGGCCTAAAATATATTTATGGCGGAGGGATACGTGCAGTGCACTGTAAGGAAAAAGAGTAGCCAAGACTTTTTGTTTCAGATTTGCCACAATTTTACCTTCATAAACATTAATAAAAAGTCAGAAGACTCATGCAAGCATCCTTGTTTTGCATAGTAAATGAAACAGCTATATTTACATTACACATTGTGATCCGTGGTTCATATCACCCAGCACTGTTAAAGTAATCAGGAATCTCTTATTTCACATCAAACCACTCTGAATGACTTTACATCGCAATGACTCAATTGTGGAGCAATTTCTGAAAAAAAATTTGGATGGAATTCCCCTTTAATCCCCTATACGGTCAATGAATAACTGCAGTGCTTACTCGTGGATATGGATCTTAACTATCCCACATAAAAAAAGGACAGCAGTTCTCTCCATGCTGGTATGTTTCTTGTCAGTATAATTAGAGCACATTCAGCAGCGGAGGAGTCAGTGTCAGCAGGTTTAACTGAGCTTTATTATTAACCCTTTCATATCTCAATGAGAGCAGGTTGAACTTTGTTGCAGACTCAGGCTGCTGTGTGATATAATAAGACACGTGTTCATGCATGAGGGGAAAAAGAGAGGCATAGTGGAAGTAGATACTTATTAACTTTATTAGAACGTTGCTATCAGTGCATGATTAGACAGTATGTTTAAAGATAAGCTACGCTCTTTCTTTTCAGTTCTACTTTCTCACAGATGTTGTCCGGTAAGTATTCCAGTCGTGAGAATCCCGTAGACTGTGCATTTATTTCGCTCATTTATCACCTGATTTGACTCATCATGCAGTGGCCAGGCCTGTCATGGGCTACATCATGTGTGCTAAAGCAGCCATCTTGCATTGTGTTTGTGTTGGTCCTTTATTGACCATTCACTACAGTGCCAAGTAAGTAACGACCACTGAATGTCAAAGAAAAATACATTATATGGACAAAAGTATCAGGACAGCTACACATTACACCTACAGGGACTTTGATGACATCCCATTCTAAATCCATAGGCATTAATAAGGAGTTGGTCCCCCCTTTGCAGCTATAACAGCTTCCTTCCTACTGGGAAGCTCTCTATGAGATTTCCATTATGATTTCCCTTCACTAGAGCTAAGGGTTCTAGGCCAACCCCTGAAAAACAACCCCATATCATCATCCCTCCTCCACCAAACTTTACAGTTGGTACAATGCAGTCAGGCAGGTTACGTTCTCCTGGCATTCAACAAACCCAGACTCATCCATCGGATTGCCAGATGGAGAAGCTGATTCATCACTCCACAGAATACATTTCCACTGCTCCAGAGTCCAGTGGCTGCGCTTTACACCCCTTCATCCGACACCTGGCATTGTACTTGGTGATGTGAGGCTTGTGTGCGGCTGCTCGGCCATGGAAACCCTTTTCATGAAGCTCCTGATGCACAGTTCTTTTGCTGATGTTGCTTCCAGAGGCAAATTGGAACTCTTTAGTGAGTGATTCAACAGAGGATAGGCACTGTGTGCTTCAGCATCCCCACTCTGTGAGTTTGCGTGGTCTGCTGCTTCGTGGCTGAGCTGTTGCTGCTTCTAGACACTTCCATTTCATAATAATAGCACTTACAGTTGACGGGGCAGATCTAGCAGAACAGAAAATCAAGCTGCTTCTCATCGGAAAACATCCACAGGTGTTTCTGTCCATCCTTCCACTGTGAGAAGACGACTCAGCGCTATGGGTCTGAAAGGATGTATAGCTGTTGAGAAAAACCTCACTGAGAAAAGGAGACGGACACATCAAACAAAGAAGCTTAACAATGGACTGACCACCCCAGAGTCCAGACCTCAACACCACTGAATGGGTTTGGAGTTATTGGATTGTGAGAAGCAGAAAATGTGACCAACTTCTACGACTGAACTTTGGAAGTGTGGAAAAATATCCCTGCAGATTTATGTGAGAAACTGAAAGTGATTCGGAAAAGAAAAGAAGCTGCAACAAGAACAGAGTGGACACTAAATACTGAAAAACAGATATTATATTTAGCTGCTGAGACACTGAAAATAAGGGCCATTTTGACTCGAAATGAAGTAAATAAAGGGTCTAACTTTATAGAATAAACATCACAAACA